AGACCTTTATTAGGAGTTATGCAAGATTCCAGCTGTACGGTTCTTATTATAGCTAAAAAAACTTACTTTTTGATACCTTGTCTTCTTTGATAACTATGCTTTTCATTTTGTAATTACATTTTTTCTTTAGATAATATTGAGTAATATATTTAGCTTCTCTACAATATAAGCATAAGTCCTCTTGATGTTGTTGAATCTTATCCTACTCTATAAGTGATTTAAAATATACCATATCAATTTGTATTGGTTCTAGCCTTGATGAATAAGTTTCTAAAAACTTTGGAGCTGCCATTATTATTTGATTTGTTCTTCTTTAACCAAATCTTTGTTCTTTATGTCTTTCAAATAATCAATTATTGCATGCAATAGCTTCAGTAATAAATTGTTCCAAAGATTCTACCTTTGGCATTGTCAATAACAAATCTTTGACATTATCCTTCAATCCATATTGAAATTGATTGATAAGGGCTTTATTATTCTAGTCCATGTTGCAAGCAAGGTTTTGGAATTCGGCACCATATATGATAGTTGACTGTGATCTTTGCCACAAAGATAAGAGTTTGATCTTTGCTATTCTTTTTTTATCATTTTTTTTTATTGTAGCTATATACACTTCTAAGAATGAATTCAAATCATAAAGGAGTCACGAATCCTTTTTTATTAAAGGTACAAATCAAGAGAGAGCACTTTCTTATAGAAGTGTGCTTATAAATCCAACTTGAGTAAATCCATCAGCATATTGGAAAAGATGCAACCTTACATATAGCTTGACTTGTTACAAAAATCCTTAAAATTTTGATCTTGTTCCATCAAACTTCTTGGGCATATTAATCCTTGTCCTTGTCATACTTGTAGAAGAAAAATTCTTTGGATTTGGTTGTGAGGTTAATTTACTTGCTTCTTTCAATTGCACAATTTCTTACTACAAACTCTGAACTTCTTCCATAAGCATAGGCATAGCACTTCTATGATTCATATTGGAAATATGTGAGATTTCTACTCTTAGAGTGTTAACAAGCTCATGAAGATCTGCAATAGTTACAAATTTATTTTCACTTTTGTCAAGAGTAGCATTCATAATCTTTTCTTTCATAGACAACTCAAATAAATTTAAAAAGTTAAATTAGAGGAAGATAATCCACAACCTCTAATACCAAATAAAAATTTTTACAAAGAGGGATAATCCACTTTTTTTAAAAAAATTATTTGTGCTAAAAAATAAGATTTTTTATTTGAAGAAAGATAATTTGTAACCTTTAAAATACAAAAATAGAAATAAAATAATCTACTCACTTCTAAAACAAGATAAAAAGAGTAAGTTAGTACTCTTGTCAAACTATCAAGGACTTCAATCATGAAGAAAGAAAATCCTCAATACACTCTTGTGTCATTGAAAAGAACTAGAAAGTTACTCAAAAATGATATAATATTGAAATAGAATGGCTATTGCTAAAAAAAAAAGAGACTACAAAGTCTTGAAATAAGATTAAGAACTAAAAAGACATTGACAAGAGTGAAGAAGGCTTTACTTTTACCTCCATATATACTCTTAATTAGGAGCTATGTGGCAATGTCCTATTGGGCCTCCGAAACGTATTGACTTTGCAAGACACATATCTTAACTTGCAAGGCAAGTTTTTTATATGTGTACCACCAAGTTAGCTTGTTCTACAAGGTACCAACACGTGGTTAACTTGTTGATCAAATTTTTAACCTATCAATCAACTACAAACACATATAAAATCAAAGCAGTGTCTATGAAGCTTCTAAGAAGCTTTTCTAAAAGGTATTATGAAATTAATCTACTTTCATCTACTTTTATCTACTTCTACCTAATCATATAGGTATTTATTAGAGTATCTATGTGTATCCATGACACATATTAAGATATAAAAGACCGTTGTATAAAAACCTCAATTTGAAAGTTTTCTTTTATTCTTTGTTCTTTTATATTTGAGAGTTAGATTTATCACCAATAATAAGTTTTTGATATATAATTTTTTTAAAAATAAACTTCCATATTTTATTTTTTCTTGGATTTATAAAAGTTAAAATTACTTCAAAAGAATTATCTTTTGTATACATTTAAAAAATAAAATATTCATTAATAAAATTTTATAAAATAAAATGTTAATTTCTTTTATAAATTTTATATATATATATATATTAAATAATAAAAAATATTGTACAAGAAATAAATAACACCATGCTTAATATGTATCTTATATCTATGTAAATAAAGATAGATTATTGCATCAGTATATTAAAAGAAAACCATTATAGTTTAAAAAAATAAAAAATACAAACATAATATCAATAAAAACATACATGTGTCATCATAGACAAATATGTGTTACTTATTGTATAATGGTTTTAGAGTTTTATTATTTGAAAGTTATTACAATGAAGGTTGTGGAAATATAAATAATATCATAATTTAAGTTGGTATTGATTTAAGCTTATGCTATAAATAAATAAGTATAATAAGATAATAAAAGAGGTATAAAAAAAAATTACAATTTCTTAAAGACCATAATCTTAAAACATTAACAATAGGTTTTATAATTTATTTTCTTGTGTTGGTAGTTGGAATAGTTTGTGATTTTATATAATATATTAAATATACATCCAAATTTTACCATAACAATACCTTGTGATAAAAAATTAATATAATTTATTTTGTAATATTTTAATATTTTACATAAATATTAGATTTATATTTATCAATTTTACTATAACATACATTTGAATTTTGAGATTTATTATGCCAAAATATAATAAAAAAAATAATATTATCATATTTAGAAATTTGTTAATCAAAATTTATTTTAAATTTTTGGCTTGTATTTTTTAACTAAAATCAAATATATAATTTTTTAATTTAAATTTATATTTTTTCTTTTAAATTTATATTTTATATTTTATATTTTATATTTTAATTTCTAAATTTATAGAGATTTTAATCTACCTAATTTTTATTATTAGATTTTTTTAATTTAATATTAAATTATGCTTGTAAAAAGAAAATGACGTTTTTATAAAATTTATACAATATTTTATTCTAATATTATGTTTTAATTATTTTATATATTACTTATACATAAAAACTTAATATCTATAAAGATTAGAATGAATAAATAATAAATATTTTATACTATCTAATAATAAAATTTTAATATATATACATAACCAAGAATATTTTTTATCTAAATATTTGTATTTTAAAAACTATCTCTCAAAAAATTCTTACTTGTATATAACATCATAATTAAAATAATATTAAATCTTAATTAAAAATTAGAAAAAATATAAATTATTAATTTTTTATGCTCTCTTATCAAATATAAAAAATAATAAATGATAACTTTTTTGCACACTTTTACTTATATTTTAAGTTTTTCTCATTATTACATTTTTTTTTGTTCTTTCTATTATTTTTTAATTTTTAATCAAATTTATTTATTTGATACTACAAAACATCATACTATTTTTTGTCAATCCTTTATTATCTTGTATCTTCAAAAACAATAAATAAATAAATAAATAAAAATAAATAGATGGTCATTTTTATGAAAAGTTAGAGATCTTTGTATTTATAATGTCTCTTATCTAATCTATTATATAAAACAGCTCAAGAATAAATAAGAAGAAACAAAAACCATTTTTGATTTGTTGCATGCCTTATTATTTTTATCAAAAGTTAACCAAAATTGGGATATTTATTGCAACATTAACTAAGATTAATGTGTTATTTTGAGATATTTCCAAGAAGAAAAATATGCAAGCGCTTTGTTCAAAGAAAACTTATCTGTGAATAATTTAGGATGAAGTCTAAGAAATTGAATTACAACCTCATCATTGTAAGGTACAAGGTGCAAGTTGTGAAGGAGGATGGTTGATGGGTATTGGATTTGGCAAGGTGCACATCTAATCCAAATCTTTGATTGTGCCAAAGAGAACACAAATAGAGATGAAGCACAGCCCAATACATAGGCTAGTAGTGCAGCAAAAGAGACACATATTTGTTTTATTTTTCACTTTATGTCTTGTATCTTTGTAATTGGATAATTGTAGAGATTTAAGTGTAATCATGGAAGGCAATGTGAAGGAAATTGAAGTTTTTTCCAAACAAACAATTTATAAGGTATAAACTCCCCTAGGTCTTAAAGTACATGCATTGAGTATGCAAGTGTGCATTGTTGCAGTACATCATGTGAGTAGGAAATTATTTTTTACTATACAAATATCAATTATGAAGAAATTGGATTCATGTTTCAAGGACAAAGTTGTGTCTAAGCACTTAGGATTATTTGCAAGCTTATTAATTTTAGAGAATACCAACTTCCTTGATGAAATAGTTTTGTTGTTACATTCTTTGATCTACTATCAACATCTCCATTATCATCCTGAATATTATCATTGTAGTTTACATAATTACTTCATCTATTCTTAGAACTTATATTGGATGTATAAAACACAAAGAACATGAAGTTGGAATTGTAAATGAGTTTTATTTAGAATGTATTGTATGCTTAGCACAAAATGGAATCATACTTAAAAAGATTTTTTTTAAGTGGCATAAGCAATGTTGTCTCTTAAAATTTATAATTAGTCTACTTTAAGAGGTATCATTCACAAAATATTAGGAAGCCATATCAAAAATTATCAACTTTAATTACAAATTTTTAAATAATAAATATTTCTTTTATATTTTATATAATTGTTAGAATTAAGATATAATTTGAGATATTTAAACTTGTAGTATAAAAGTGATTTAATCCATTTTATGATCTTATTTTATGCTATCTCCAAAAACCAAGATTTCCAAAAAAAAAAGAAGAAAAAAAAATCTCTACACTAAGCAATGAACCTTTGTTTAGCATATATTCCACATCCTTGGAAAGCAACCTCTAGATATAAAGACCTTTGACCTCTCTCCTATACTTCTAAGCAAAACTCAACTTCATACATGGGATCAATGCTAAGAATACAGTACATCCTAAATAAAACTCTTTGGTAAAAGGTCTTTATGTACCAAGGATTAGAAGGAAGATGAAATACAAAATTTTACAGTCCACAGTGGTTGGAATTGACGGGGTCTTCCCCGTCCTACAGCAACTTAAGTCGAGGTCGAATAACTTACAAGATTCTCACTGTATATGTAAAATGAATCTTCTGTAGAGTGGATCTTGTGGTTGCTCCAGAAGGCCCACGAGGGAGGTTGAGAAAGTTCACAAACAAATACTAAAACTGAATGTCATAATTTAATGCCTAAAACCTAGGGCGAATTTTACTGGAACGTGAAATCAGAATGACATGAATTATAATCAGATTATTAAATTTAAGGAAAGCGCTTTAATGATACAACCCTATGGCAACAGATGATCGGTCATAGAATCCTGGCAGAGGAAGGAAACATTTTCCAAAAGTTTCCAATCTTACAATAATGTTTCCTCGAACAGAAACCCACCCATGACGCTTGTTGAGGAGAAGGCGCAGAGGTTGCAGTGGAGGTCGTCAAGTAAATCCGAGGTGTAGACACGCTGTTTCATATTCTGGGCCAAATGACCCCCTGAATTCTCCACAAATTTTTCCACTGCATCACCAAATACTAGCAATCTTCATCAGAGTGTGTGCGATGAGCTTTCTCTTATTATTCTTGCAAAGGGATGGAGCCCTCTTGTAACGGCTTGTCCAACCTTTTTGCAGCTCTTCTCCACTTCAAAGAACAAGCTTTGATTGTTGCTCGAAGACCATGCCTATGATGCAGACCGGCTTTGTTATCAACTAGAGCCCTTGAATTTCCGCTGCTAAGTCTCTCCCAGTCAATACCTTCCATGTCCTCTGAAACTGACTTCTTGTGCAGGATTAGGCAATGACTTAGAGTAGGCTCGTCCTTCACAGACTTACTGTACGAAGTCTTCACTTTGTTTGATGAAGAATCTCTGTACCAGTCGGCTCCTCCTCTTGGTTTGATTCCACCTTCTGGCCAATTTCTGACAGACTCTGGAATGGATGAGGTAATGTCACACACTGACTCCGATTGAAGGTGCTCATGTAGGCTACTATCACTCAATTTAAAACCTTCAAAGGATGTCGACGTATTCCTCAGACCAAGCCTGTTGTTCGGGCCTCGAGAGAGATCCACACCACTCTCCTCGCCAGTATTTCCCACACTCAATTTCCGCATAATCTCACTTAAACGCCCTTTAAGATCCTCTGCACATCCGTTCTTCAAAAGTTTCTGCAAAACAACGTGCTATTGATTCCTTTGCTCTCAGCTTGCACTCTACTTACTGGTTTCTTTCTTGAAATCAACAGAGTTTACTCAAAAAACAACGTAGTATAGGGTCAAGCATACGATCATGAAAGAAAGGTGCTGTAATAACATAATATGTTTCGTATTAACAACATCCGAAAGTACGAACTCACAGGAGAGCCCCTGCCTTCTTCCAGTTCTACGCTCCCTCGTATTGCAGCCATGCTAAGAGCTGACAGATCTGGAGAAAGAGGAGGTTGACCATTGGTTTGGCATTCAGAGGATTGAGCCGCGAGGTCTGGACTTATTCTGGGGAATGCCTCGTCAAGTAACACATGCAACCATCTGTCGATGTTAGACTTCCCAGCTTTCTTCAGTCTTTGATCATTCGACTTTACTGATTCAAGAGCTGCCGCCTCGACATTCTGGATCTTATCGTGTTGCGCAATGATGACCTGAAAACGCAGAAAACGATGATCAAGTGACATATTCTGTACATTTAATAGCATAAACCAATGGCTTGTGTCGTTTAAAGCAAGTCTCGATGTTGGGTTCTTCCATTTACACCTCGCTAATTCTGAAATGACCTTGCATCAGACCTAAATTTAACATTGCTTCACCATGAAAGGAGAATTCTAAATTGAACACTGTCATCAATTACATATTAACCTGATAATTGACAACTATTTCTCACTGAAACACTCATACCAGTGATATAAAAGGGGTAAATTAATTAATACCTCTTGTATCAATTCCTCCATGACTCTACTGCTATCCCCTTGTACTCCATGCGGTTCAACTTGACAAATCTCTTGTTGTGAATCGGGAAGCTTGCTGCCTGGTACAGTTTCCAAAGAGGACATGAGAATCTCAGACGAAGATATGTCTGACAACCTGGCATTCTGATGTTGCTTTTCAAATTGTTATTCTTGGCATGAACATCTTGTTTATCGAGTGCCCCATTTAATTGCTGAGGTATTGACGACTGCCCGACCTTCGTGAGTTCTTCGAGACTACTAGACAAACTTAGTGCCATTAGATCAGTGTTAAATTTTAATGTAATCAGGATGCATTAACATGAGCATGAAATTTTTTCTCTATTGAATAATTACAACGATGATCTTTCGTAAATCTTACCTTCTTTCTCATCCATAAGTTTGCTTCGCATCGGGCCATTGCCTTCGAGTCCTTTCTCAAAATGCTGACGATGGACTGCTTGTTTTGTAGGTTGAGCATGCGTGGCTCCTATTGAGATGGCTTTCCTTTTAGCCCCTTCTCGTGGCAATTTCTCTAGAAATAATTAAGCTACCCAAATCAGTATCTGATAAACTGTGAGGAAGACTTTTCTGAACTTGCAGATTCCAGAGCAGTTGGTTTAACACTCACGCTAATATGGGAATTCAGTAATTTATCTACTTGTATTCTTCAGACAACGACGCTGACGAATCGTCTTATTGGTAGAACTTATCAGCTACCAGAAACAACATATCAAATGTTACTGCAGCTCAAGGTTACTAAAAAACATCTATTTACATGTTCTTGTTCTGGTTCTAGCCAATAGTTTATCAAAGTCGGGCACTGTAGATAGTTCCCTGAAGTAGGTCTACTTGATCACATATGGAACCATGGCATCGCACTCCGATTCAATGGGGTGGCTGTTGAAGTGCGACTAGTTCGTTGCAAAGTATCCATCTTGAGATAGATGATTGCCAGGCTAATACAAAATAACAATTTACACGCACAACTTGATACTCACTTTTTCCTTTGCTTGTAGATGGACTTCCATGCTGCAGAGCAGCCACGTCCAAAAATGATGACTGAATTGAAAATCCGTTCCGTCTCGGAGAGTTTCCTTCCTCTATCTCGTCCTCAGTATCCAGTCCCGAAGTGTACCTCTGAAGTCCTCTGCAGGGTGCCACGACCTGCCCATCATTTTTGGAGACTAGAAACAAACGACTGTTTACGTCAACAATTTCCTGCCCCTGTGAAGGTTTCCTCTGACCAGATCCACTGGATCCCGGAATCCCCAAAGCTGCTAAAGCCTCCCGCGGAGAATGCCTCTGAAGAATTTTCTCAGATGCTTCGCAAGTCATATCTTGGCAGTCAAGGCGTGCCATGAGGGCATTGCATGCGGCTTGATTTTGACAAGCCTGCTCTTTATAGGAAATACTCCTGCAATCAGTAAAGAAACAAACCAATATAATAGTAACTTTGCTCTGTCAAAATCTCAAGGTAAATGAAATAATCTGCTATAAGCCTACAATACTGTAAAAATGATCAACTATCTCACACTTATCCGTTGTAACACACAATAATTTTTTGATCTAATATAAGAATTAATTCGCTATTTGTAGATAACAATAGGTGGTTTGAGAAGAAAGCGCTCTTACTGATGCATAGCATTGCGAATCATACGCTCCAAGCACAACCGATATGAAGATTGAGTCTCGGCCCATCTCCTTTGCTTTTCCACTTTTTGCTTGTGCTTCGATAAGTTGCCCTCTAGCTCCAGAATAGCTAACCTCTCCTTCTCGTTTTGTGCTTTTAGTGTCCTAACTGTCTCTTCAAGTCGAGCAACTTCTTTTTCCTTCTCTCTCTTGCCTTCCTCCCTCATTTTCTTCAGTCGCAATTCCTAATAGCAATAAAACAATCGGAAGAATAGAAATGTTAGTAAAATCTGTATAGAATGGTGTCCGAGCTAACATCATCCGCAAGAAAATTGGATTCAAGCACTGGTCAATTGGGAATTCTCAGATTTATAATGAGCTTCAACAGGCACTTGATCATAACGAACATAGCATAACCTACTCTTGGAAAACATTTAGCAATAAAACTCAACTCGTGAGGAGTTGAATCAAGTTAACTCTGACATGAACATCTTATCAAGTTGGTCGCTAAACTCGAGAAGCCAGGATTCAAGTCATGTCTATTCAACTAATTCAAACTGCAACATACCTTCTGCATAGTATTTGAGACATCTGAATGATTGTCGTGGTCATTCCGACCAGTGACAACAGAAGTACTGGCAATATTTTCCTTCCCAAAGTCTCTCATGACTCGATACTGTTGACAGATAAAGCACAAAATATACATTAGTACAACTGTGTACAACCCTAGAAGACTCGCCTAGCTTCTAATAAGATTCTTATCGTGTACCAGATGAACCATCCAGAGTAGTGTGAATGTGAGAATAAGACATCAAAACAGGATCACTAAGGTGCATCTTCAATGAATAATTCGGATGCAGACAGATAAGCGTGGGTTAGGTTTTCATTTCGTAAAATGCCGATGAAGGGCATTCAACGCAATACAGGATGTGAGTAGGTGATCCTTGACGAATTCAACGTGACTACGTTATCAAATTCAGTTTTCTTCGGTTACTTGATCGTGCAAGCTGCAAAGTGATTTATAGACAGTACACCTTCTCTTTGATTTGAGGCATTGTTCGGTTCAGTAGCACTGGTTCTTGTTCTTTAATTTCCTTCCAGCTGCCTGGTCCATACTTTTGTAGGCCTCTTTTTAATCCGTCCTCTTCCTCAGGACTCCATTGTTGTCTGTTTGATGATTCTTGTATTATTGAACAAAATCCCACGTCTCATTTCAGATCGCAAGAGACCAAGGCAAGCAATTAACAAGTGCAATTAAGTCTTCGGCAATCACCACACTGATATTTGAGTAAGAGAATCAATTGCAATTGATGGCACTCAAGTTAAAGAATGCCTGGACATCTTGGTTAAAAAGCGACACACGAATTGCTTTCTATATATTTGACTAAAATGAAGATAGTGAATTTCAAGTGGTACATCGCCTGCTCTACAAAGGGTGACAGAGGTGCCCGACATATACTAGTCGGTGCTTACCAGTCAGTGACCCCCCGAGATTGGCCGACATTGCAGAACGAGTCGAACTTGATACTTTAGAAGTTGCTAGTTTAACCTTGCCCATGGACGAGACGCCACCTCCAGCCATACTGCAACTTGACATTTTCCCACGATGCTGAGGCGACCATGATCGACTGTCTCCCAAATGGTATCGAAAGACTTTCTCATCCTCTCCATCTGCAAAAAATAAAGCAAATGATCGCCGCCTGCACGAAATTTTCCATATTATTAGATGAGAAAATTGCAATCTTTCCTCATTGCTCCCGTGGAACTAGTGTCATATAAAAGAGGATTACACCTTCCGCACTTCAGTCACGAGTGAAGTTTACATATCGAATGGACGTTTACAATAGGATATGACTATAGCTATATGAAAACCATGTTAACAAATTTTGACAAAGCAACTGAGATTCTAGATAGCTCGCTATTCAAAATTACTCGACAAAAATTGGCTACGTTTTTTGGTTTTTTACGAGGTAGAGCTCCCTTAAAAACATCATGAACTCTTTACACCTTACCTAAATTCAACGTTTTTAGAAGCGAATGTAGACAAGAATTGGCTAATAGATACTCCATGCTGAAGGTCCCACCACGGTACCAGGAACTCTAACCGGTTCTTTTTCCGTTGACGGGCCTGCCATTGAACTATCTGCAAATTGCTAGGTACCGTACGACCACCTCCTGCATTCCAATGGACTTCAGGTTCATATCTTGGATAAGAATATCGTGGTTTGTCCAGGAGCATGCTTATAATGGCTACTTTCCTCCAACTACGATTATACTCAACTTGATACTAGATCAGTTTGAAAGAAAATGAAGGGAGACAGAGACGGAGAGAAATTACAGATGGTACAGCTTACGTAAATGTGGAAACCAATGATCCACTTCCCAGGACAAAGGTGATGATGGATCCGCACTCCAGTAAAGAACGTTGCCATATGCGTCCACTCTAAACTTTGCTGGATCAAATCCCGCATCCCTGAAACCTTTCACTAGTCAGATACTCATCCGAAAAAATGATCAGATGGTGCATGCATACCTATGGATAAAGTTGAATGTACAAAGCGTCAAATTCAAACTCCACTTAATAAACCAAGTTAATTAAACCTAATTACTCACCCAAGGTGATCAAGCTGCTCCCAGATCTCTTCGGCGAATTCATGGGCATTAGGAGCTTCTTCGTCAATATCTGGTATGATGGGAAAAATGGCGTCCCACTCTTTTATCAGCAGTAACTGTCAAACGAGGAACATTTGTAAGTCCTATATAGATGTCTGACCATCAGGAGAGCATAAAGATTACCTTCAATTTTACAGCCCACAGACGCTGACTACCAATTCAAAGTTTCAAGTCATTCCAGCATACTATTTCCAGTCTAGTCCGTAAATTCCATCGCGCAAGCCCACATATTCTTTTGATGGAACCCTGCGAAATTAGAGACTAATGTAATCATCTTCGTGTCAATTCTCATTGCATTTCCTTGACTTGCATTAGTATAAGCATTTCTCAAAAAAAGTAGTCTTTACCAGAACATCTCAAGCTATGATTGAAACTTAATTTTTTAATTTTTTTCTGTTGTTTTGTTTTTTGATGGAATCGGACGATCTCGGGACAGTTCCAGAGCAGGTCATGAGATGCGTAGGAGATACGTGTCTAACGCCTAAGTAGCTCGCGGACGGAAATCCTTGGAGGAATTTGGATTTTAGACTTAGTTTTGGCAAGCACGTGAGTAGTAAATTCCATCGCGCAAACCCACATATTCTTGACCTGTTCGTGGATATCACTCATCGGAACGAGAAATGGGATAGTATTTAGCAGAGCTTCGAGGATAGATGAGGAACAAGAATGAGAGACGTACTTCTTCTGATGAAGGAGCGTAAGGCACAAATCGTTGAGGAGGGCCCTCCGTGAAAGGTGTCAGAACTCCTTGAGGCTGGGTTAACGCATGATGACAGAGTTTTGCATAGCCGGCAGGGTATCCGAGGGTCGGATCGATAGTCTTCTCTTCTTCCGTTAACGTTAACAACATTTTCACTGATAGACCAGCAAAATAAACTCGCAGGCTTGAGAATCTTGATTAATTCCTGACCAAGCACTATTGGTGAGGAAACGCGCTAAAATCCTTGACCACTTTGTAGTGTACAAGTTATAAGACAACTAGCGCAAAGCATTCTAATCTCTCGGCAATCCAGTATCCACCGTTAGCAATTAGTGAGAGGGAAGAACTGAGCATGGAGAAGTGAACATGGCCAACTACACAGCAACATGCGACTGGTGAATGACCCTCTGGAGCATGAATGTACACACATTAATGGAAGTGAGATGCAAAATGTTGGACACAAAGCTGAGCCAAAAGCAGAGCTAAAGCTTTATTGAACAGTGTGGTGTTACGAAGTCCATCGTCCTGACCTTCTTGAGCAACCAATTGGTTACTGCCAACAGAGGAACATTGCAACCGGCGATGACGCATGGATGAGTCGAAGTTACCAACGCCAAAGAACTAAGCAGCATAACGGCTCATATGTCAAAAGCTACCGCACCGACTAAGCAAAGGAACTCTCACAACTCCATTCTACTCACCGCACAGCAGCCCATCAGACAGGGCTGAAACTGACAAAACGAGCGGACCACCAGAGGAAGGCAGTCACCCACGACATTGGCTGCAGTTGTGGACCGAACAAGGCAAGAAATTGCTTAGAACTATGAGAAGAGAAGAGCTCCTCACAGGAGAGTATCAGCCTTTTGTGACATCCGACAATCAACAACCTGAGATTACATAGGCCAGCTGCCCTGCCTTGTTCCTCTGAACAAAGCCAACCTTGGCTGCTCTGTCAATTATATTAAACGCATCACCAATACACACTTCTCAACGGGCTTGAAATCTTCCTCTGTAGCGTCTGCCTTCTCATTGAATCTGTCAAGAGCCACAAACACCTGGTAAAATCCCATCCACAACAACTGTAAGTCAGAACCAAGGCAACGAGCTTGTTCTAGTTTCTACGGTCAAAGTTAATGTATCAAGGGTCTAAAGTGATCTCATCGGAGGGAAGGTAAAGTATCCGAGTGAGGTACCGACATTACGTTTGGAAAATAGAATACAGACAAATGACCTACCTTATCAAGAATCAACAACATGAGATTACGTAGGCCAGGCTGCAAGCAGGACCTGCCAAGGAGTTAGAAATGCAACGAGAGCATCACCACATGCAGCAGCGAGCGTCCAAGGAACGTCGGAACCAGCCCTTGTGCTCCTCACGGTCCATTTTTCCGTCGAGGTTCCTCGTCCAGTTGCAACGAGGTGAGAAACGGAGGCTAGAGAACGTTGACGAGCGACGGTCGAGGATTCGACGAACGCTCACGATCGTCGGGTACGATCATTCCCTCCCAACGGTCGAGTCGATTAGTCATGCACTCTCAAGGCACGGTTCTCGATGTTCCCATCAGATTAGATTGATATGGTCGCCTCACATTTGGTTACATTTGGAGGCAGCAAAGCAGGATGAAACATGATGGGATTTTGCTAGAAGAATAATCTTTGTCCATTAGCACCATTAGACATGTGTATTTTTATTTTCATTTTTATTTTCTAGAGGAAGTTAAAAAATTGGAGTGTAGCCATGAAAAACATTCTCTGTTTTTAATTGCCAGCATGGGAGGCATGTTTTAGAGTGGCCCCTATCCTTGTCATTGATTCATGGTGATGGTTAAAGTCAACTATACTTCTCTTGCAGCAGCTTTGTTGGCCACAAAGCTTTGGGAGGACAAGAACACTGAACTTGTTGTTCTCATCATACTTAGCTTTTATTTGTTTGTTTACTTTTTCGTCATTTGGTTATACCTGCACAACAACTAAAGAGAGCTAAGGCTACAGAACCAACAGATGAAATGATATGCTACTGAACATTTGCAACTATTGGTAACTTATAATTCAACCATGAATTTTAATGTCAATGTGTGAGGTCATCTCTTTTGCCTTGGAAAGGCTTTGCTTTGTTTTAATTTGCACAATGTCTGTTTAAAATGAAGAAGTAATGCACAACGTCCAGATTCTAAATGGTCTGAAACTTGTTTGGTTTTAGTTTGAAACTTGTTTCTTGCATACTGTACCAATTACTCTTATAATTATTTATCATGATTGTAGCTAGGGGTTTTTGGATTTCAAAAAAATATATGCACAGACAGGAAAGAAAGTGGATATTTATGTTTTATGATTTGATAATTACTAAATTCTATAAATTTAATCCAAATTCCATTTTTGTTTCTTGCGCAGTCAATAGCTGTCAACCCCAACAAGTATGGCATACAAAATTTTAACTCACATATATTACACATTACATTGCATTCAAAAGCCAAGAATTAAATTATGCAATACCCTTCCTTACAAAGACATGTTCCACAAAGAACACACATTTAATTAAAACCACTTAAGTATGTTATATAATGACTTCCTCATGTAGAAAACACAATCTTATATTTTAGCAACAAACTTCAATAACAAAATTACTTAGTTGGATAACTTTAGATATTCAAGTGACAAACAAAAAAAAATTACTTGTGACTTGAGGACACTAATACCAAACCACTCTCTCTCTCTCTCTCTCTCTCTCTCACTCTTGCTGCCACACCCTATAGTAAACAGTTTTGTTTCTTCATAAAAGTTGGCGAGGGGCACTAGGAAACTATTATGCTTTAGGAAACTTTAATAATCACAGCCATATTGATAGTTTAATACTGAAAACCTATCCAACCAACAAAGTTCATCAAATTTAGAATCCACCCAAATGCCTTCTTGTCTGGCATACATCACAAGACAAACACTGGGGGTCAAAATGAAAAAAAGTAGCAGTAACTACAGCTGAGAACTGCATGCATGCCAGCTATGGATACTACCTGCCCAGATCCAGTAATTCAATACCCACATGCACATATAAGTTCAATACATACTGGGACTTCAAAGCACTTTGACTGAGCCCACTGCAAGCTAAGCAGAAAGCAGCCAATCCACTTTTTCACCAAAACCTAATATTGATAGATAAATGTATATATAAACAAACAGAAATTTATAAAAACAATGCTATGCTTTGCAACTTAGTGGATCTTGCCTGAAAAATGAGATCAGGGTTCTCATTTGCAGATCAGGGCTCTCATTTTTTTACATTATTTTACATATCAAAGGGTTGAGTATATATTTTGCATTAACCCTAGTTTCACACTGTCAGGTCTCAGTGAGCCTAAGCATGTGGAACATTCAAACCTACTTTCATCTGTACATATACTGACACTATCTTTTTTCATTTATTTATTTACCTCTCATCTGTATTGATTTACCACTTGGACAAAAAAATATGAACAGTTTTAGGTTAGAATCCAACAGCCTCCTACACTGTTTTTTCACAACCTAAACAATGGGGCTGTTGCTATAAATATTTAAAATAAAAATTACCATTTCTCAACCCCCACAGACCTCTCTCACACTCACTGCCTAGCAGTGGATTTGGGTTTCAATCTAATGATAGATATAGGTTTCAGTCTTGTGGTACATTTACTGCCCTGGACCTTGGCCATGTCACACATCTCACAAGGTTTTTATGACAGTGTCCATTCAGTTGTCTGCAAGCTCTTGTTGTTTATGCTCTGACCCAGATTCTCATGGTGTCCAAACCAAAGAGTGTTGTGCCCTTTTGAGAATTTTGCTCCCATTTGTCAGAAATCTATGATACAAAACCAATGTCTCCCAAAAGAAATGCTGGAAGGAGTAGAAGCAGAGAGCTTGTGTTCAGAAAACTGCTGATGTGAGTTTTGACCATTGATGGCCTGAATACCAAACCAGGCTAGCAGGTGGAGAGTGAAACAAAAGTCCCAAAATAAAAAAATAAAAAATATTGGTAATCTGAAACACTTGTGGGGTTTGTTGCTGCCTGTAGTAACATCATGATGTCAAGTTTTCAAGGACAAAATGTGTAGGATTCACTTTGGACGTACCAATTGTTGATGGATGTTTAATGAAAGAGGTGGTCATTAATAGTTGGATACTCTCAGAATGTTCCTATATCTATATATGTATGTGGGACAATGCTAAAATGAAGGCTGTAAAAATCACCAGATTTACCACTCAATCAGTAAGTTATTATGGATATTGTGAATGTCCATGAAATGTTGATTGGGCAGACCAAGGCTGACATTGTGGCAGTTGGAAATCAAGTTTGTGATGGGAGCTTTTATGCTTCATATGTAAAGGTAATAAAAGAAATGATGGACAGGGAATCCATTACATTTGTACATGTCATATTTTCACTTTAAAGGGAAAAAATATTCAATTTGCCACTCCATGCTATTTATTTTTGGTTCACAGTTTCTCATTCATACACAGAGGACACCCTCAGACACACACATTCATATGTCTGTATGTGACTATATATATATATATATATATATATATGTAAACTGTCTGTTTAAATAAGAAAATGTGAGAGAATGATGTAAAAGTAGTCATAACTATAAAGATTCATTCTTATGGTATATTTCTTGTGGTTAGATGAAGCCAATTTCAATATTTCTGTTTTGATTCCATAATGATACCAGTTTGTTATGTTGTGATGTAAATTATACCTTCTGTTATACAACATTAACAGTCATTTATCTCAATATTTCATATACTAGAAGAAAATTATGTAGTTATATTGTCAACAAATATGTTTATACTTCATTCTTAGAATATGTAAAAATGTTATGGGAGTATATACAGTTTGCTGACAGTAGTATTTATATTTCCTTTTACAACATACAGATCAAGTGAAAAAAACATTCAATATTTATTTATTAATACATATCTATATATATATATATAGCTTAAAATTTAGACACATCAAACTTGTGACACAACAGCAATACAAAGGACTGCTTCAATCTAAGTAAATTATATTTAAACAATTAACAGTATTATATTATGTTTATTGTTTATTCATGGAAATTCTATTAGATGCATCATAATTAGGGAATTTTGAAGGCAATGGTCAAAGCAACAAACTCATTCCACTGAGACAAACTTTGTTATTGATCTCCTTCTAGTAAGCCTAGGCTTGTTGGAAGCCTAATTTGATAGTACATCACTATCTTGAAGGCTAGCATCAAATTTATCTTGGTGCTCTTGATCTTGCTCTTCAAAGTCACAACATCAAATTGGTGGGGCAGCAGACCCCCTTGCACTAAAACACCCACCAAATCTTTGTATTCTCTTGAAATCAAGTAATCTTGATATTTATAGAATCACAACAACAAGATCTATTCTTTCAAAAAATCTTAAATTCTAAGTTGAAGTATTGAAGAAGCAAATGAATAGAAACAAAAGCATATTATTAAAAGTTTAGAAATAATTTGGCATGGTTTTGCTAAAGAAAAAAGAAAATAAAGCAAAGCAATCAAATGAGCAATGAGACCTTTTATGACCTGGCCCTAAGATCTAAGAGTGGCAGCCATGTCTCTACCCTTAAACTCCAAAGAGCCCAACTAAGATCCATGGGCCTCATTAATCTACAGGTCAATACTTGATATCAAGGTTGATGGCCATCAATTGAGCCTTAGAAGATATTTTTTGGTCACTATTGTGCTTAAATCACACTTCTAATAAGAATTGACTACTGACATGCCCTAATTCATAAGAATTTGTATTACTTATGAAGATTAAAAATATGATAATTTGGATTTGAATTTAATTTACTCACAAATTATGTCTAACTTACTTACAACATCATTGTTAATTAGATCAAAGAAATGTTATAACTAAGAAAATAAATAGAAATATTAATAACTAACTTTAAATCAACTAATGATCTATTTATTATGCTCACACTCTGGTAAATTATTGAGTCCTAAAATTCACTAATATAAAGAACATATAACATGAGAAACATATACATACATTAATTTTTTTTATCAATGGAGTTTTGAAGAAACACATAACAATAATGGATTGAATTTTTGTAATTTTTTTTATATTTTTGTTTTGCAAGAACAAAAAAGATACTATAAGAAAATTAGGTTGGAAACATTCCTCTATTCTTATTAGATAAGCTTGCACTTGTAGGCT